TTTATAGCTGGTATGAAACGGCAATGCTTGAAGTTAATAATTCTAGCATTATTTAAAATATGAAAATCTGCCAAAAACAATGTCTTTTATGCCTTAAATTCAAAAAGTAATTGAATTTCGAATTGATTTTGTCAGTGTTACCAGCTGCCGCTTTATAAAAATAGCTGAAATTAGCCGAATTAGCTTTCTAAGCACAAATTGGCAGGAAACAGGGCTGTTTATGCTTGTTATTGACATGCCATAAAATAGCTAAATCGATTCCAGCTGAAAACCTCTGAAAATAGCTACCTGCAGCTAGAAAATAGCCTAATTCGTAATACTAGCTGGTTTTTAAATGGTCGCTTGAAAGTTGTATAATTCCTTACAATGATTTACTTGTGATGGTTTTTAAAGACTTTTTCGGTATAGAAATTTGATAACTTCCATGCAATAAATGGATGCAATTGAATTGATTAAATATGCAACTATTTTTATATAACAAATAGTTTCCAGAACAGAATTTTTCTTCCAATTTAGAAACTGCCTTGAAAGCAAAGTTCTGCTAAAAGTGATATTAAAAAGTTAATATATGAACTAATACTTCATCAGTTCACATAATTAAATAGTTAAACGTTGGAAAAGTAATAAATTTATTTTCAAACCAGACTCTAGCTTAAAAAACCTCTAAATGGTTAAATTTTGGAAATGTTTACAACTGACAACAGTGAAATAAAGTTATAATCTTAACGATCCAAAAAAGCACGACTTCGGATTTCGGTAATTGTATTAGATAAGAGCAAATTGTCGAGACCCTAACCAAATGAATAATGGTCCATAAATTTCGACAAGAAGTTAGCCAAATGGAGTCTCAGCTAGACTTGGGGTATAAATAGGGTCTGTTCAAGATTGGAAGCTTCATTCAAAAGCCGATATCATGAAGTTTTTAACGCTTGCAATTTTCGCAATCTTGTTGGTCGCCGTCCTGGGACAGCAGCTGGAACGCTTTGGTCCCCGTCATGAAGTTGGTGATTTGGAAAAATCAGCTCGTCACTTTATTGAATCGCCCATTACTCCCATGGGGCGAGTTCAGCGCAGTGTGCGCTCAGAGGAGAAGGTATCCGTTGGACCTCATGTGGGTTACATGCCTCGGCATCACTCAATAAAACTATGAATGAACAAACAAAGGATGTTGGGCTAACAGTGGACACCCATCAGCATTCATAGATGCTACACAAGTAACCCACCTACCTTCCCACACTTCAAAATAGAGCATTACAAAAAATGAAATTTTTTCCTGCACAAATCGATTTGAATAAAAATCACTGTGAAGGAACTTAATGTGTTTTAAGTGTGATTTCAAGATTGAATACCAGCTCACAATTATATATTTGAATATAATATAGGGCTGAAATTTACATAGAGAAGTTTGAGAAGTTCTGGATAAATCGCGAGAAACTAAAGCCATGAAAATTGTAGATAATATTCAATGTAAGCAATTTTTATTGTTTTGCTTCCGATCTTTGTTAAAAATCATTTCAGAGCTGTTTTTCACATCTCGGGTAAATAATCCATTTCTCTTGGCTGAAAAATAGTTCTAAATAGGTTGAAATATGAGCGATAGTTTTTGATTTTTACTTCTGCTTCATTTTTCAACTATTTTTATGGTGCACACCAGGCATTTAAGTGGGCGGAAACTTTGATTCCCACTTTTGGCTTTTCATTCGTTCGTTCGGACCTTTTTTTTTTAATATATTATATGTAACATAATTTGTGACGTTATCTTTCCTGAAAGTATGTGTAGCTTTAAACATTCCATGGGCTTCAAGTAAAACATGTCCCGTGCAAGGCCGGGTAATTTCCGCTTGTAATATATATGCTGAAAAAAAAATGTTATCCCAACTGACTAAAGGAAGAGCTGAATTTCTGTTTTTAGTGAATGCTTGAAGGTGGTTTTTAGAATATTCCACGCGCAAGAGTGAAAAATAAGTGGAAACTGGCTGCATGAAACTCTTTTTATTCGAAATGTTACGATAAAACGTGTTCCAGACGTTTGTCAATAACCAAAGATCCTGTATAGATATTTTTATTCAAATGGTATTTTGTGGAATCCAGTCTATATCCAGCTAACTAATTTACCTCCATCCAATCAGGTAAACGCGTTAGGCCCGCGCTCATTGCATATGTTGGACAATTGGAGGCTTCACTGCGTGCAGATCGCGACCTTTTCGTGGAGTACAAACAGCGTCTGCTGGACATACGCAAGCGCCAGGCGACGGCGGCGGATGCCGGCGAGGAGCACGAGCTGGATATTGATGAGGTGGATCTGTTGTCGGACACCAGCAGCATCAGCTCGTCGCGGCACAGCGGCAGCTCGCGGGGCACCGGGTAAGGCGTCACTTGCTGTTGCACCTGACTGCATTCGAGTTTTATTTTCCTTTTCTTTTTTTTCTGGTACTCACTTTCTTTCGTTTTGGTGCAGAAAAACATTTCGCTCCAGCAAAAATCGACGCAAACACGAACGCAAACTGCTCAGTCTGAAGCCGGGCAACCCCTTCGAAGATATCGCGCTCATCGATGCGCTGCACAACCAAGTCACGAAGCTCGGCCAGCAGCAGCAGCAGCAGCTTGTGCGTGACACATGCAAAGCGCTCCTCCAGCTGCACACCGAGGATGTCCAGGCGGCGGCGCTGCAGCGCCAATACGAGGGCATTCTGACGGAGCTGCTTGCGTCGCTGGACGAGATCTGGCTGCCGGAGCTAATGGGCGGCACCACACAGCATCTGACCGGACCCAATGTCGACTATCTGGCCCTGCAAAAGGAACAGCGTTATGCTCTAATATGTGGGTATTACTCAAATTAGGCATTGGCTAGGCTAAATGAATATATGCGTAGTTAGAGATTGTGAGAATCGAAGAGGAGGAGCCTCTCTCCATGCCTTTAAAATATAATAGTAAAATAATATGATATACAATATGATATATGATATGCAACTGATCCTTATATATATACATATATAACATATTATTATATGCTTAAGGAGAGAGCTTCCTTTTACATATATCTTAAAAATAGTTTAATAGAATTTGATGTAGTACTATCTACAATATTTTATATGACATATGTCATATATCATACCATACATATATATTGATATCTCAAAGAGAGATTCCTTTTCCATTGATGTAAAGCATAGTGTAATAGAATTTCATATGAAATCATCTACAATGTGACATATGACATATGATATTTGACTGATTAGAGAGATTAGAGATTTCTCTTCCATATATCTATAAAATAGATCAATAGAATTGTATATAACGTGTTTTATCATATGATATATAACATATGATGTATATATATTATATTATATATATATTATTTATCATTCTAATCTCATCAAGATTTTCTCACCAAATGTAATATAATTTTATATGATGCGATCTACCATATGATATGTAACATATATGTAACAGATTCCTTTTAAATGTCATCTCATCATATTCTCACAAAGATTCCTTTTTTATATATGTTATAAATAGTGCAATAGCTTGCTATATTATATATATACTATATATGATATTCAACTGATTAATATATATATATATGGTATATGTTATTTCATTAGGTTCTCTAGGAGGTAGATTATATGTTTATTATATTCCCTATCAGAGAGATTCTCTTTTTTATACCCTTGCAGAGGGTATTATAATTTTGTCGTGAAATGAGTAACGCATAGAAGGAGACATCTCCGACCCCATAAAGTATATATATTCTTGATCAGCATCAACAGCCGAGTCGATAGAGCCATGTCCGTCTGTCTGTTTCTATGCGAACTAGTCTCTCAGTTTTAAAGCTATCTCAATGAAACTTTGCAGAAGTCGCTCTTTCTGTTGCACGCAGCACATGTGTCAAAACCAGCTAGATCGGAGCACTTTATCATATAGCTGCCATAGGAACGATCAGTCGAAAACTAAGTTGTTGTATGGAAAACTTTTTTTGTCATTAATTAAACACGGCATTTAAAGATTTCACTATGCTCCCTTAACTTTTGCAAAATCTTATTTACATCGGACTACTATATCATATATCTGCTATAGGAACGATCTGTCGAAAACTAGGTTTTTGATTAAAAACATTTCTTGTTTATTAAGATATCTTGCCCAAACTCGGCATTAACTATTTTCCCTGTGCTTCTTAGATACGGGCAAAACACTATAAGCATTACGAAAAGGTTAGGTCTGCAAGGGTATTACATCTTCGGCGTGTCGAAGATAGCCTTTCTTTCTTTCAAATTGTGTTGGGTAATTTGTTGAACTTCTCGAAGTCCTAAGTATTTTTAAGTTTTTCTCATTATAATATTAAATTCATGGCAAATACATAAACTTAGTAAACTGATTGAAAATGTTCAACATTAGTCAGAAATTGTATTTTGTTTCGATTGTTAACAGATTTTTACTCGAAAACGTTAAAAGGTTTTTAAACTTAAATTTAGATCGGAATTTTCTGTCTCTGTCCAACGTTTTAAATTAACAGTTTTAAGGTCTGAGGAGATTTTTGTAATTTAACTATGGAGAGTTTTAATCCTAAGTAAGATACTTTTAAATTATATATGGTTATATCTATATGTCTAAAACTTCAAATCGATCTGACAAATAAGCAGCTCTTTAAACTATGTTCCAGTTAAATAAACGTGAACTCTTTAGTTTGTTGAAACTTTATATTTATCTAGAAATCGATACTAATTTGAAGTATTTCGCCCCTCTATTTATTTCAGCTCCCCTGAAGCGATTGAAGCCGCAATTGATCATTATCGATTGGAAGCATGGCATATTGCATTAGTTCTTGTCATAATTGTGGTCATATTATGGATAGGTTAAATGGATTTATACTTTACGTGCAAATTGATTTTGCGATAATCAAAATCGAAAATAGTTTATCTATCGAATCGCCGCCTCTCCTTGACTTTCACTATGTTTTCACAGCTCTGAGATAAACGTTGCATTAAAATCACTAATTGAGTTTATTTATTGGCACGCAAACAGTTGCGTGCTTTGGCTGTAAAAAATGGGTGTACAAAATTCAATTAAAAGTGGTATTTGGTACGGACTATCATTTAGGAGGCGTTTACATTGGCTTATCACTGTGCAACGCCCTTCAAAGAATTCCAGCTGATTTCCTGGAGCTGCTGCCAGCTGCTGCTGCGCTGCCGTTAACAGCGGCGTGGGCGTCGCTGCCTGAAACAAGTTTACAGTGATTAGTTTAAACGCACAGTATGCTAAATACTATACCCAAAGCAAGACATTTAAAATACGTTAAGTAAAAGTAAAAGTTTTGTCTAAGGCACTACTACCACATTATTTATTGGTATACTTATGCCTTCAAGCATTAATAACTGCATTAAATTAGTATACAATTTACTTAAGCACCCATTTAATTAACTCATTTCGCCACATGAAACACCCTAATGCCCGCTGGACATGCGCAGCTAACATAGTCAGCCGCTGCTGCTGCCGCGCTGAGCGCCGACGTCGACGTCGCAACTCCAATTGAGCTCTCTCTCAGCAGTGCTCACGTATTTTTCGTTTTCGCAGCGCATTTCAGTGAGAGGCATTGGACGGTGCGGTCGTGTGTTCGCTGTCGCTGCGCATAACGTTTACATTGGCGCGTCTCCTGTTTCATTGTGCGCCAAAAAATAAACTAAACTTAGGTGAATTTGTTAATAAACAAAAAAGAAATATTTGTGCGTGTATATATTTGTATATAGAGCAGCTGCGAGCTGTTTAATAAATCGAAAATTTTGGCCCAAGCAACAAGTGCGACAGGAAACGCGCGCGTGGAAAACGCAACGAAATCGAAAATAAAGTGCAAATTAAAGAGTGTGTGTGCATGTGGAGACCATTTAGTAACCATTTAAAAGTGCTAATTGGAAAGAAAGTGTGAAATGTATAGAAATATAATAAAGTAAAAATATAAAAATTCCATTCAAGCGCGCAGTCGCAGTTGTGCGTTAAATTAAACGCGCTAAATAAATAATAGTTGCTTATGGAAATCAAATAATATAAGCCAAAGCAAATTATATATTCCCAACAACAGCAACTATAACATTATATGTGGTAAGTCCCAATGTGCTCTATATGTTTGTATGTATGTATGAATTATAAGCAGCGCTGTCCAGTCCAGTTTTAAGCTTTGCATTTGTTTTGTTTTTTTTTTCGGTAAGTCACTTCTTGGTGTTCTATAAGCAGCGCTGTCGACGTCGAGTGCTGCTGTTACGCGCTCTCTCTCTCGCTCTCTCTCTCTCCTCTCTTCTCGCTCGTTTGCTGTCCAGTTTAAAGCTCAGCCCAAACTTGCAAAACGACTTTCAACATCATTTTTGGTGTTGTTGTTTTTGCTACTTCTATTCGCCCCACCGTTGATGTTGTTGTTGTTTTTTAATTACACTTACTGTTTTCGCCGTGCTTTAGATTTGGATTTGTCGCTTTTGTTGTTTTTGCTGCTGATTTAGCACTTTTATTTTTTGGCACATGTCGAAATCGCCGCGGGCCTTAAATTGTTTTTTTTTTTTTCGCACAAAGCAATTATTTATTTATAGACCAAATGCCATAATTGCGTAGCTTTTTTTTTGGTGGAAAATTTGAAATTTTTTCAAAATTTTGTTTGGCACAAGTATGGAATATTGCTTAACAGTTAAAATTGTTGATTGAAACCAATTTTTTAAGCCTCGACATTGATTAAAGTTTTATTGGAATGCGTTGAAAGTCCTTGACTGAATATTTGGAATTGGAAATTGGAATTGAAAATTGGAACTGGAATTGGAATTGGAAATGTTATAGATCATGTTTAAGATGAGGGTTACAATGATTACAATGAATTACAAAAGTTAGGCAAGGTTAAAGTTCACATTAACATTAACAGTATCCCGTTTCAGATATCAGGATCGTAATGGGATATTCAAGTACATTTCGTTGGATATTCTCTATGTGAATCATTCGGGCTCGATTTGCAAATCTGTTGATAGATCTTATGTAAAATAAACAATGACAAGCTGAAGCCTACTTTGCGAATAAATTATGATTATTTGCAGTCGTAGCGCGACTTCCTATACGGATTCTATGACTGTCATAAGAGTATAGCATAAATATAGCACACGATTATCATTTATCTCATGATTTACAATGCGAATGCTGCCGTTGTTTCATTGTTTGGTTTTTGTTTGTTTCTGCTCGTCTATGCGAATGTTACCCAATCCGAAAAGTACACACAACTCGAGGCACGTCTCGTATCTCTACGAAAGAGCCAAAGCCAAAAAAAGTGCTGAACGTGACTCAGACTCAGCTTGTGCTACTCTTATCTCACCGAGCTCGAGCCTCGAGTCCGAGTCCGAGTTCGAGCTCGATCTCGAGCCTCGAATCGACTCTGACCCGGGCTGACCACAGACCCTGTAAAATTTAATCCATAAGCTACCTAAATCTTATGTGGCGACGGCTCCATTGAAACCGGTTTATAGCCAAACGCGTTCTGGACTCAAATCGACGACATTCCATGGAAGTCAAACATTGGGCTTCTCTGGGGTTGGGTCTTTCGATATTTCTTTGCTGAAACCTCTCGCAGCTCCCTTTGCAACGTTGGCGGCGGCAGCTCATTTGGCATTCAAAATGTTTGCTCTATAGGAGACCTGAGGCCCATTATTAACAATTTATGTTGTAACTGCAAAATGCATAATGCATTTGTTGTCTCAGTTGTTGTTTGTCTCTAATGAAGAAAAAACCTGACTGCAACATGATGTGGCAAATGGCGACGAGTGGCAACCTTCGCTTGAGGCATTCGATTTTGCATAGATTTGCTTAAGAAGAAATATATATAAAGTCATGTATATATATATATAGAGAGAGAGAGAGAGCGAGAGAGACTTACAGATATAGTCAGAGTCTCAGCCACGTTTTAAATGCAGCTCTTAGCACAAGTTAAGGCTTTTGTTTTATGACCTTCCCGCTTGTTAAGTCGCACTGCACAGTGGTTCACATCTGTGTGTAAAGTGCATGAAATGCAGTGTCCAGAAGTTGAGCGCAAATTGTAAATATGTGAAGCTGAAATGTTTAACATCTCACTCAGAGAATCTTGTTGCGAGTCAGGGACTGAATCAATAGAAAAAAAACCAAAACAAATCATAAGAAATCGAGTTATTTATCTTTGTCCTTGATTATTATTACAATTGAGATGTAGTTAAATATATATCATATTCAACAATCTGTTATACATACATTTTTAGTTTTGGCTTAACAAAATTAATATATTAAAATGTAGTACAAAAAATACATATATATTAAGTATATATTAGGGCTGCCAAAAATACGATTTTTAGCATTTAAAGCGAGCGGGAAAACTCAATTTTCTTTATAGACTCGTATAGCTTTTCACAGTAGAAATCGTAAACGTACCGGTTCTCAAGTTGTTAACCTCAAAGTTGAATATAAAGCTATATAAAGGTACTTGGAAATTTTAGACCCCATGCAAATGAGGCATTTTTAATACGACTGAGAACTCTTTCCATTTGTTTGCTTCTTAAATTGCAAAAATAATCGATAGTAACTTTGTTGAACAAAATCGAAATCAAACTTGAAATTCGTAAAGTCGCAAAAATATGAAGAAGAATAAGAAACCAAAAAGAAAAAGGTGTAGAAAAATGTAAATTGTAGCAATCGTGTTGCAAAATGGAATAGTTACTGTAGTATCGCTCTCTCGCTCTCTCTCTCTCTCTCTCTTTTTAAGAATCTCGCTTCTATTATTTCTTGTTAAAAGCAATTTTCTATATCTTAACTTTATGCTGAAAAGAAATTAGTTGTCTCTTAAATAAAGAAACTTTTGCGTGCCCAGAAATTAACAGCTGAAATCTCTTTCTACGGTTCGCTTTGGTCTCATTAAGTTAAATAGCCAGTGCTCTGTGGGCGTTACTCAACACTATCGCAAAGTGTCTTGAGTTTCAGAGGAGGTCTGCGGAAGAGGATGGTGGTGGGGGAGGGGAGGGGGGGGGGAACCCCTGAACAAGTCGCATTGCATTAAGGTTGCCCTGCAGACCCACAGACCTGACCTATCGCGGTTCCTGTTTTTTCTTGTTTACTTTTTTTGTTGTCGTTTTCATGTCTAATTCTTTCTTCTTCTTTTTCTGTAACTCTTTGCTTCGGTGTCTTTTATTCGGTTTTGTTGTTTGTTTCGTCTTGCAAAACTTTTTGCGGTTTGCGTGTGAGCTTTCATTCTGCGCAAAAATGCAAAAGCATTTTGCAATCATCAAATGGCCATTTGGTTACGTTGTGGTTGATTGATGAGGAGGAACAGATTGCACAGCAAAAGCTCTTGAAAATGTGCTAGTATAACGGTAAAATATTCATAAGAGTCAAAAGTCAACATTTCTGGAAGTCTTAGTTAGTGGAAGCTAAAGTCACTGGAAAGCTAAATATCTTATTTCAAAGTCACTTAAAATGACAGCAACTGGAAGTCTTGGTTTCTGTGAGCCAGCACCTAGAAGTAACCACCTGGAAATCTCTGAAATCTCTGGAAGTCTTTTTCACTGGAGGCTAAACACTCTGGAAAGGCGAAAATTTAAATGTCAAAGGCACTTAAAGTGATAGTTACTAGAAGTATGGGTCCCATTAAATGAATAATTCCAGAAGTCAAAGTTACTGGAAGCATTGGTGCCTTTACGTCTGAGTTCTTTGAAGTGCCTGGAAGTCTTTTAAATTGATATAACATAAGTCAAAGTTATTGGAAGCCTTGCTTTCTCACAGTCTGTGTTCCAGGAAGTACCTGAAACTGCCTGAAATGAAAATCCCTGGAATTTAATGTACTCAAATGTCGAAGTAGCTGGAAATCAATATTCTCGGATATCAAAATGTCAAAGTTCCGGAAAGTCAAAATACAACAAAAATTAAGACTGTTTGTCAACTTCAAGCAATGGAAGTTTGTCCCTTATTATCTTATTAATTAAAGTTTAAAAGTTGTGTCTACTTTTAAATTCTTTCAATTTATCAATCTCCCCTTCTCTCTCTCGCTCTCTTTCTCTCTCTCTCTCTCTCTCTCTCGTTCTTTGTAAATCTGTTTATCCCTCTGTTTGTTTTTATAAGATGCGAGCTGCTCTTTGCGCTTCTCACACAAGTTTTCCAGACTTAATTCAATTATAAGTTAAATTATTTTGTTGACAAGCGCAACTACTTGCAACGGAAAAAATGTCAAAGAACGT